CAGTAACTTTGTAAGGGCTGTGTTGGATGCCACCACAGCACTAGTGGGACAGCATGAAGTCAGAAGATACAAATCCTGCTGAGACAGTGTTAAAGAATAGTGTAGAGTAAAAGGACCCAAACCTACTGTAGTCTTGTCCATGCTGTCTTTTTGGGAACAGTCCCTGAGTAAGCCTATGTCTTAAAGACACCTACTAAAGACACATACCAGAACAGAGCCCCAGAACAATATAAGAATTTAATTGTGTCAAGATGGACAATAAAGGTGTTGTGCCTTTCAGTCTTCAGACTCTTTCATTTAGCACTGTTCATGAGCCCACTAAGACTCAACATCAGATTTGTGACCAGATGTCTAAGAGTCACTCCTGGAAAAAAAATAGGCAGAGAACCAAGCCTCAGACCACAAGATTCCCTTCATTTCATGAAACAGTTTCCTTTCCAGGCTAAGATTCTCAAATGCATTCTGGTTTTGTCTTCCTCAGTGGTGCAACCGTCACCCTCAGAGAGCCCCATTCATCTGCATTCCCTCTCACAGAAACATAGAACAATTTAGGTTGGAAGGAACATTAAAGCTCATCTGATTCAAGCCCTGTTGCTATGGGCAGGGGTACCTTCTACTAGAGGAGATTGATCAAAGCCCCATCCAACCTGACCTTCTTGTTATTTTTTTTTCTTTAGACTGCTGCTCTGTTTGGTTTGGCTCTCTTCATAATTATTATACATACACCATTTTCTATTTTAATTTGTGTTGGTTTGTTTCATTTTGATTTGGGGGCTTGTTACAGGCCTAATTATCTTCTCTGCAGGGATGAAGCCAGATGTTGCATCATCTGCCAGATAGTGCTAATGATAAGTAGTTATTTAACATATCTTATGATCTTGCAGCTGTTTAATCAGTTTGGACACTTGATCTTACTACCGTTCTGAAAGAAAAGACTTTGAAGCTCATTTTAGGCACTGTTCTATGCCTACAACAATTTTCAGTGGCATTTTATTATTCTTACACCGTCAACTGTATAAGGCAAGTTTAGATGTAGCACTTTGTTTTCCCTTCTGTTACGTGTCATTTTTTGTTTATTCTTCCTTGTCAATTTCAAAACAGCTGTCACCCAAAAACCTTCTTTCTCAGCTAGGGACTTGTACAATGAAGGTAGTATTTCTTGTCTTGTTATATTCCGGGGTCACTTCAGAAGAAAATATTGTCAGGCCGTAAAAAATAGTTAAAATAGGTCTTTATTCAAATTCAACATATAATAGTGACCTATCTTTTCAGACTCTCAGAAATAATTCCATGTCTGATAGCTGAAGTTTCATACTTAATATCTTGCATATAAATAATCCCTCTACAAGCTTCTTTCACAGAAAACAGAATGGGGCTATTACTTTAAAGGACTCCTACTTACTTACTATATAAATTTTAGATTGGATATAAGGAGGAAATTCTTTCCTGTTAGGGTGGTGAGGCACTGGAATAGGTTGCCCAGGGAGGTTGTGAATGCTCCATCCCTGGCAGTGTTCAAGACCAGGTTGGACAAGGCCTTGGGTAACAGGGTTTAGTGTGAGGTGTCCCTGCCCATGGCAGGGGGGGTTGGAACTTGATGATCTTAAGGTCCTTTCCAGCCCTAACTATTCTATGATTCTATGACAGGCAAATGCCATATATACTTCAGATGGCACACAAATATATAAAGCTTACCCTCCACATTTAAAATATGAACAAGACATTTTGGTGTCTGAAGCTTAATTCAGTCTCTTATTAAAAAGGGCAGGTGATAACCATTAGAAGAAATAAGATAATGCACATAGAGGTATTTAACATGTGCTGGCCCTAATATGAAAAATTTGCAAAGGCAATTGAAAGATATAACCAAATATCTTTTTGCAAGTCTTGCTGTCCCAGCTGAATTGCCAAGCCTTAGAGCAAAGCTTGTCAGCATCAACACCATGCTCTGCTAATGCACCTCAGCATCTTCTGGTTCACAGCTTGTGGCCAGTCAATTTGGAGCAAAGCAGAGGAGCTTACATCAGTCTATGTCTATCACAGTAGGAGTATCCACAGGATAAACTAAATTAATGCCTCTACAGCAAGCTACAAAGCTTCCAAAGATTTTGAAGGAGACCAGGATTTCTGTTCTAAATTATATGGGTTCAAAAATGCAGATTGGTAGGTGTATAACTTCCTCTTAGTTCAGGATATGAAACTGGATCAGTCTTCACATAGCTACCCCTGTTCAGCTCAGTGAGGCTTGTAAAATAAAAGTAGGATTTGACTGAGGAAGAGAAGTACCTTAACAGGACAGGTCCCATGCACCTCCAGCATTTGTCATCAAATCTCACTTTCCCTCACTGAGAAAAAAAAAGATGCACGGAAGAAAAAGTTGATCTTCCATGCAGATGCTATAAAGAATGTATCATTTCATGTATCCAGTTTTGGCCACTTCATCAAAAAGATGTTTTCTGAAAAGAGATCTAGGATGTTTCTAAATCACCTGAGTAGTGAGGTAGGAAAATAGAAGCTGCTTTCCAGAAAGACAGGGTGGAAGGGAAAGACCCTCACTTCCTCTAGGATTAATATTCTTCTTCGTTTGCTTTATAAGCCCTTTTTGAAGTGTCTCAAAATTACAGAAGGGGAAAACTACAGTTAAAATACACCAACTCCAAAGACATGAAGAGATACATTACCTTAGATTTATACTGCTAAAATAGCAACATACAATTTGCAACTACTGAAAAATAGAAAACCTTTTTTTTCCTCTAAGGTCTTCTGAAACCTGATGCAAATAGAAATCTAGAGGGTGAGTACACAGAAGAACCCTGGAATTACCATGGTGATGAGGCTCACAGCACAAGAAACTTACAATTGACATTTCTTTTGAGAGATCTGGACCCGGTGCTAATGTTTGGAGATGCACTTAGGTTTGTTTTTGAAGTTCTAGGAGCACTCTCCCTGTAGGCTGAATGAAGCATAATGAAAAGATATCTCCAAGGTTTTTTACAGAATATGAGTATGCATCTTTGAAAAAAGAAGACTGTTTTTTATAAAGGCTGATGTTTGTAAGCCAGCAATTTCTCACTTGTATTGCATCAGAGCTGTAATAGATGCAAAGTCCTGGGAGAAATGTACATTTTGAGGGTCATTTAAAAGAAAAGCTTTCTTCCTGTTTCCTTGGGTTCAAAGCCTCTACCTCCCAAAACTGAATGTCAAAAGATGCAAGTAGTGTACAAGTATAAAACTGAGAGGCAAAACCATTTCCTACAAACATTCTGAAGAAATAGTCACAATTTCACAATGAGTAACTTCCTCTGTTTAATCAGTTGCATATTATTTCTGATATTTCTGATGTTTTCCAGCTATAAAAGCAAAAGACACCAAATTTGTAAAGTTTGCTTCTGAGACTTGAGTGACATCCTGCAAAACAGGACCCAGTGGCTATACAAAACAGAAATCAGCTTAAGTGAAACACAGCAGGAGTTCTAAGTCTCTTTCCTAGTGGGTCCCCTGATTCAACCCCTTAATACATTTTTTCTGTTACAGAAACATCAATTTGAATTAAGTCTCCATGTGCTAAACCCTGAACACCTATAATGGGAGACACAATCCCTTTTCTGAAGGCCTCACAGTTTCTGAGTAAGATTTCAGCGCGAAGGGGAAGTTATTTTACATTTACGTGCTTCTTGAATTTTGAAGCTACCTGATCATTACTCTTCAAAAGATTATAAGATAATTCGTGAAAAAGTAGACATTAGGGGGGAAACCTTCTTGGCAAAAATCTAAAAGAGTTCGGTTATGCAGCAATTTCAAGGGCATGATTAGATATAAATTTTGGCACCCTAGATTTGATAATCATTTTCTTCTTTATATATCATGGCCTGAGGTTGGATTTAACAGCAAGGAAACATTTTAGCTATTTATATGTACTTTTTTTGACAACTGCAAAAACATTTCTCCCACCAAAACCAAAACCATTTAGGGGGAAAAACAGACAAAACCCCAAACCAATAACACAGTAATGCAATGGGGTTTGCTTATCATTAGTGATAGTGCTTCAGTTCAGCTATATGGGGCTAGGACACTAGAAGTGGTCTGATTCGGTTGCTCTCAACTTCTAATAGCTCTGCAGCAAGAGTGGCTGTGTGTGTTAGAGACCCTCTATACCCAAGCCACTATTTTTGTTTCAGAACAATGAAACTGAAATGTTTTCTATTTTTCCAGCACTCAAAAAGACTGAATTCTGATCTTATTTGGACTGGAATCTCCCAAAGTATTGCAGCTTTCAGGGGGATGTCTGTATTGTGCGTGAGGCCCTGAAAGTATCATGGTATCATGTTTTTCAATGAAGGTCCCCCTCTGTTGCCAAAAGAAAGGCTAGAAAATTATTCAGGTTTCTTTCCTTAGAAGTACATATAACAGAAGACAGCTTCCCCATGCTTATAAAATATTGACCAAGAATTCTTCATTCATTAACAAACCCATGCTTAGCCTTGAAAAATTAAGTGGAAATGAAGCAAGAATAATTTTCCAGCCTTCATTACAAATTTTCTTGTGCATTGAAGTTAAAAGCATAAGTTTTTAATAGTCTCAATAAGACAATGGTTTTAATTTAGGTTAAATTTGCAGAATATAGCAATGCAGATCCATTGCAGTATAATTTTATTACAAGTTAACTGAAAATATATCTGTTCAGCTCGATGTAAATGGATAACATGAAGATAGCATCCAGCCTACATACAAAGGTCTGTCCTTGCTGAATGGTTTCAGGTATTGGAATAGCATTACAAAACCAACCTACAAGGTCTGCTACAAGCAGTGATGACAGCAGTAGTGTGCAGGATTGTGTTAACACCACAGACCCTTTACTTTTCTTTCCTTCCATAGGTATTGAAGATTCAAGAAAGTTGGCACATGTCAACCACACGTCCTTGACTTGAGGTTTCAGTGCACTTTCTTCTAGGTTCCTCAGTAGTGGATAGCTTGCTATTTTAACCAATTCAGTGACTTACCAAACAAATGAGGACCTTCCGCAATAGCAAATCCATCAGCAGTGGCTAGCTGGTGATGTCCTATTAAATTCATTTCAGATCCCATTTATTCTTCAGGATTATTATACTAATTAAGAAATAGGTTGAAAGGAGACCCTGAAAGATATAAAGAAAAAAGAATATTTAAAACAAGATAAACAATTTTCATGTACCTATTGTATGGCAGTATTAGGTAGGTTGTTTCAATATTTGCTGCAATAAACATTGGCTTTAACCCTTAAATAAAATGCTGTGCCTACTTTGTTTTCTTGCTGTGGTGTATTTTATTTTCCATCCTTCTGCTGTTCATTCAAAACTGACAGTTTATGCTCAACCTTATCCAAATATTCAGACTGAAGCACTAGCCTGACCTGCTAAGGGCATAGTGCCCCTTTCAGAGAATACCAGTTGTTTGCACTATATTTTGAACACCCTTTATGAAAAAGTGTAAGCTTACGGTTAGGTCAGAAGAATCATGCCAAGAAACTTGAGTTTAATTTCCAGAGACTGGCTCTTTATCTTTCGTTCTGTAATTACTGTTCGAACAAGATAAATAGTGGCAAGAAAAGAAAGCAAAGCCTTTGCCTAATAACCACCCAATCCCATCCACTCCCTTTATGGTCTCAAGCAACTGTGTAACTCTTTCTTGGGGAGGATGGGAGATGCTTGAGTCCTCTCATTGGCATACTTTCCTAGCCCGTCAGATGGAGCAGCTTCCATTGCCTGAGGCTGACAGTGGCACTGTACCCAGGTCTTCTTCTTCCCACTTGGCTGTTAAATAAGAGACAAAAGACCTGCTAATGCTTCCTACTTGAGCAGAGGCTACAACTAGAGCAGCACTCCACCCAAGATGAAGGTGTGCATGGGGCTTCCTTGCCCACATCTGGCTCATGTAGGTGGGATAGGGTAACTCAAGACTGCATTGAGGCAGGACCATCAGCAGCAGGAGAACATACAGGTCCAGAAACAGCTCAAGGTTTTACGCAGACACCAAGAGGATTCTGCACAAAGTTGAGAGTTAATCTGTTTTGATTTGTTTAAGCTTTGATTCTTTATTCACTTTTATTCCCAGTGGGAATGGTCCTGGAACTGTGTTTGCACTCACTGAAGGCATTTGAGAGTTACAGCCCAGTCTGCTTCCCAGTGAGGTCTCAGCATGTTTCTCAAGCAGAAATGAAGTCATCTGACAAAAATGTGAAAGCAGCAGGAGGCCCCAGTGCTGAGCAGACTGGGAAGTATCTTGTAAAAGTGGCAAGCACACTGTGTAATTATATTCAGATTTGTCTGTAAGGATTCATTAAGTTATTTCTTAACATAAACAAAGGCCCTCTAATTAGACAGATGCATTCTAAATGTCTGCCCACAGATAATTTAAACAGTTTACTCAGAAATGTCAAAAGCTACTTGTATCACAGACCAGATAGGGTTCTTGTGGTAAATAACATGTAAACACAGTTGCAAATCTAGCAGAGAAACACAGTTTTGCAAGAGCAAAAGTCTCCATATATCCTGGGATGTGGGTTGGCAACCAGCCCAACCACCCCAGTAGACCCACATCTACTTCCAACCATTTTACTACCTCACCATCACATTGGCTGGGGAAGTTATCTGTTGGAATCAAGAGGTGGGGCTGCCCACACAGCTGCAAAGGTCTTACAACTACTGACAGCCAGTTTTCTCATGACCTATGCCTGAGAGGGGGTTCCTTTTACAGCCTATTAGACGGGTTCTGTGATGAGAGAAGGGAGCAGCACAGTCAGGACACTTTAATAGTCAGTAAGAAAAACATCAAAATGAGGCATCTTCAGAGGGCTCCTGAATGAGTCTCTGGGTTTTCTTGATAAAGACCAGAAGAGAGAGGCCATCTCAACTCTCCAAGCTCTTCAATAGCTTTCTTACAGCCCATGGGATTTCCTTGCAGGATTAACTCTCCCTGCAGCCAGAATTGAAGTTTATGTTCCATCATTACTAGCATTTCTCATGTTTCCTCCTCAGGCCCTGTATGAGAAGCTAACACTGACAACAGCTAACATGTCAGCTTTGGGACTGTGAATTTCTGTAGGTTCATACAAAGCCTAGAACTTACTTTCCTAGAGAATATTATTATATCAAAATGCTTTAAAGATTGTCCCAAGCTGACATCCATTTTAAAGTATTTTGTTAGACTGTCAATATACGGACAGACTTTCAATGCGTAGCTTCTTAGTTTGTAGGATATATCCTACATCTGTCAAGCCTGTGGTGCAAATAAAGGAGAAAACAAGCAAGCTATATTTTTAAATGCTAATAAAGTGTGTGTTTTTACAGCCTTAGAAATGTCTATAAACTTCTTTCTTGTTTCTTTGAGGCTGTTCCATATTTAAGCATGCCATTAGATAATGTCACTCTTTAACCTCAAGATAGACATCTTAGGATCTATTATACTTTACAAGCACACAGAAAAAAGCCCTGGTGCTATTAATACTGCCTTGTTTAGAGTAAAAAATGAGAGTATGTATTTGTCATAACCTCCCAGTATGATAGGACATTACATGTTCTGTGACTCTACCCCTCCTGCAACATTAATTTTGATCTTGATGGAGTCAAACAGTCAGGATCATTTTACAGTTCCCACCTTTTTTAATACTTCATTTTCTTTAATATATCCAGCTGATGTAGACCATTTATTGGATTTCATGGAAGAAATGAATTCTATCTTCTGGGGATTTCTGCAAGGCATAAAACATGATCACCATTAAAAAGGCTAGAAATTTATTTTCTATTACATGTAGCTTTTCTACTGTAAATGTACCTGGACATCAAACTCTTCATTAAGTTCGAATTGACATTTTGCTTTGATTTCTCTCCAAATTCAGCCTGCTCTGAGCCATCTATCCTACATTAGGTTTATCCAATTAATTTATCCAAAAGCAGAAGCTACTCATTTCCAGCTTTCAGACCTACACCGGGTACACAATATAGAGCATTTAAGCACCACTGATTCCACACATTGTTCAGTCCTGGGAAATAGGTCACCATAAGTCATTGTCACAAGGCATCATAGACCCAGGGGGGGACTCTACTTTCAAAGATTCAGTTCCACAGCACACACCCATCATCAGCATCTTCTCAGCCTAATCCTTCCAGTTAAACAACTGTGGTCCCAGCTGGCTGCAACTCCGATGGAGCAGAAGCATTATTCTGGCTAGTGGGATAGTCACACCCAGCAGACATACACAGGCACCCAAACTGGTAGAAATATGGCTGGGTAATGACGGGTGCCATGTGCAGCACCTGCGCACAGAACCTCTTGGCAGAAGTATTCCTTACAAAGTTACAGGATCTGAGGCATGTTTTTGGCTGGTAACATGTAATTATGTAATCTCGCTTACGGACTAAGTTGACCTACATGAGCTGGGACCAGTAACCCCTCTCTCAATTCAGGTATCTTTATCCACCAATATCACATGATAATGGAATGCTTCTTGATATTCACACACCTTTGGTATGACTAAACATTCATAGGTATTTCTACCTCATGCTTGCTTCCTTATATGAAGTACCTTTTACCTACTGCCATCAATATGAATCTAGACTACCTTAGACAACTTGGCCAACACTGTCCTGAGGTGTAACAAAAAGATGTATCAGATAGGTAAAAACTGAAATAAAGGCAATAGGTGCACAAGAAATCAATATCATTCTCCAAAATAAGATCCCCTCTTGAGAAATTAAAAGGCATGGGTTAAGTTACATAGCTTTTTTCCCCCAAAACAATTATTTTAGTTATCTTGTTAATAAACCTATATTCTCCACCATGTTTTGAGAATATTTTCACAGGCTGAAAATATACAGCAAAATAAAATAGAGATTAATATGTATAAAGTAAAATATATGCCAAATTGGTGGAGATTTTTTCACCAGTTTTGTAGTAAGAACTCTGAATTACATACTTTATTATTAAATGTGTCCTTTAGCATACTTCAATCAATGCATGCATTCTACGTTTAACTGAGAAAATTGAAAGGTATAGTGTATACGTGGCTTGTACTTTCATCATATGTACATGCATGCATGCATGCATATTTGTTCAGCTTTCTTATGGGCTATATGTTCATGGGAGTATACAAATATATATGTGTACACAATGCATATGGGTGTATGTTTCAGATTTTTTTTGTGGACTCCTACCAGTGGACTACCTCTGACCCAGTTACGGTCAATACTGAAGCTTCCCTGTCTTCTGTCTGAGCACAGCCAAACCTCTAAATCACATAATTAAAGTTAAAATTAACTGAAATACAAAAGCATTGTAGCCCCAGAATTTCGGATAAAATAAAAATGTTTGATCATCAGAAAAGCTCCATGATATTTTAATTGCATTTACATTCAGAAGAATGACCGAATCTATTTTAATTACTCAGTGAAGGAAGATGTATCAAAACACTGGCAAAATTTTTCACAAATATTAGTGAGGTACATTTCCCTCCTTCTGCCCCATAATATCATCCTATTCTTTACGCATCTCACTGCCAACTGCTCAAAGAGAAATTTCAGTAACATCATCAATCTATCTATGGCCTGATCCAAACACTATTAACATCAGTGGCAAGATTTCTATCTAGTTCACAAGCTTTTGATCTGGCCTCATAGCCTTTTTATAGAATAATGCACTGCCTCACTTATCTGAGAGGCTTTTTATTTGCTCGCTTGTTTGTTTTAAAGTATATCGAAAAGACATGAAAACATTAGGAAGATTTGTGCTCCTTGTTTCCAGCCTTTTGCTGCCAGTTCATTCTGGCATGCAGGGCACCACGGGCAGCTACACAGCAGCTGATGCAAAATACAAGCAACAAAATGAGCAAGTTTGAGAACCAGAGGCAGGACTGGTGCTACTGTGTTTGTTTAAAATTTGCTGTTTAGATTTTCTATATGACATATAAAGTCAGAGCAGCAAAGAAACAGGAAAAAATACAGGATATTTTTACAGCTCAATTCTGAAATGCAAATAAATAATCTTTAAGTCAGTCAAAGTAGAACTGAAAATTCTACCAAAAGTCTCAATGGCAATTCTCTCATTGATCATGTTTACAACAGCTTCTGTTCCTAAAAGTACAAAAAAAAAATAACAAACCAGTACAATTTTAAAGCTGATGCACATAATTAACTAGACCATGTTATTGCAGGAAAGACTCAGTATCAAAGTTACCAGTGATACACGGAAGCCAGCTTCCTAAAGACAAATTCCAGCACTGTCAGTATTTTTCATGACCTTAAGATTTTTTTCTCAAGGGGAATTCCTGCTGTTGCAGTAATTTTGTAGATGAAATGGCTTCTTATATTCTTCTTCTTCAGTAACATACTAGCATTAAAAGTGTTTTGGAGTTTTTCTCTTGTAAAACATTCGTTAACATTCACCAGTAGTTCAGGTCAGAAAACTGCTTTTATGCTACCCAACTGCAATAGCTATCATTTTGAGGAATTATTACTTACTGTTCTTTTCTGGTAGACTGCGGATAGCAGGATGTAAGACAGCTCTGCTCTCAGTTCAGTATCCTAATGATTCTCACAGAGGAAATTTTTGTTTTGGTTTGTTTTTCTTTCTTTTTTAGGTTTAGCAGAAGCCTGTAGTGATAACACAATGAATCAAAGCTTGGGCTATTTGGCTCAGTGCCCTAATGGACAAAGATTACTCATTAACAATTCTTTCTTTGCGAAACTCTCTAAACATAGGCTGTATTAAAACATTGTGAATCCCAGCTTGTCCATCTGCACAGAAGTTTGAGATGCCCATTAATACTCTGGCTGGGTGCAGGGGGGAAGCTGGCTCAGATAGTGAGGTGACAGTACCTTCTTGCTGACTGTAACACTTTTCTTGCACATGTATATTTTTATGGCACTCAGTCTCCTTGTCTTTTCTACCCAAGGGGCACGATGTCATTCCAAGACGTATATTTGACTTTTAAGTATTTCTGTTATTTACATTTTTTTAGGGCAACTGAGCATTACACTGAATACTGAGGAAGCAGAATAGGCTACAAATTACAGCATCACAGGGTTTTGGGTATGTTAAAGTTCAGTTTCTGGATCTGCCATACTCTAACAGACAGCATCATTTTGATTTGAGCTCATCCCATAAAGATTTAGGCATGAACTGAAGCCCTTAACTTTAAATCTAGTAGACCTGCAAACCTTTTATCCACAAGGGAAAGAAGTTGGTACCTGTAGATGATGAATCACATCCTGGGTGGGCTGATCTGCATCTGAAAATGCAGATCTCTTGCCAGTGACAGAAAGGGGACCCTGAACCACTCCATCCCCACTTGCCCTGTATTTTCAAGTAAAGGGCAATGAATCCAGGCTGTTCTGTTTCAACATTCCACCTACACAGTAAGGGCAATAATTACCTGTTTTGCATTGCTAAACGTTTCCAGTGGGGATGAGTTGATGAAGCAAATTTCAGCCAGAGGGGACAGTTGGCAGCATCACTCATGATAAGCAGGTTCATGCCTGCCACATGGTATATGCTCTCCATCCTTCTCTATGTATTTGCACTGTGATCAAAAGTGAATACACAGAGACACAAGCTGTACCTTCTTCCCCAGAAAAGAGAGGCACTGGCCAAATGCAGTCCCCTCTAGGAGAAAGGTTACAGCTGCCGGCCCTGAAATTACCAAGAATAAAATTAATTTGCTATCCCCCAGTTTAAGAGAAAAAGCAAACAAATAAACAGAAAAGTATATTCATCCTTAAGCTTATACAAAGGAAACAAACTCAACCTTCTCTTCAAAATGGGATTAATAAAGGGTCTTTCATGTGTTCTATCCCTTGAAAATTCACATGGTAAACAGCCAAACACACATGGTATGACGGGTTTCTGAAGAGATCAGTGGGAGAAAAATGCCATAAGGCTATCTGGGCACCAGCATTCCCAAGGTGGTACTGTTTTCAGGGATTTACGCCTACAGTTCATTCAGTCAGGCACTGGCTATGTAAGTACATTTAAGTCAAAGGCTCCTTCAGTACTCATTTCCGAATCTCTGAAAGCCATCACTATTGTAAGCACTGAGATTTCTGGTTTACAAATTCATGTTTAACAAAATAGACAAAATAGTTTCAAATATGAGAATTCTTCCAAGATAACCCTACCCTACACATGGTCTCCACAAGTCCAAGCCAACATCCCATCTGTCACTTTCTAATAATTGTCCATTCCAGTGGTGCCAAGGAAATATACGCTCAAAAAAGAGACAAAACCCTCTCTCCTTGGTCACCCTAAGGCCAGTGATGGGATTTATCCCTTACCAGGTGAAGAAGTGGAGGCAGAGCCAAGAAGTCCAACAAATGTCGTATCATTTCTCATGGAGTTTGCCATCTCTTGACTTGTTCTGAACACCTTGCATCTCTTTTTCAGCTTTCAGACTCCTGCAGCATTGGTCCTGGACAGTTGGTGGCACAGAGAAATTGCTGTTTAGAAGTCCCTGGAGACCAACCTTCAATAAAGTCTCTTCTCCAAAAAGCATTTTCCTCTGTGTGGATGCTGTTCCCCTGACAGCAAAGAGCTCACCACAAAGCAAACTGAATTTAATATCCCTATTCACTATTGAATTTGTTGCATTAAAATATTTTTGCCACTTGCCTCTTTTTGTAAGGAAAGGAAAGTGGTGCTTTGGTGGTCCACCAATCAATATTTTTCAAGACATTATTGGAAAAAGCAGAGAAAGGATACACATGATCAAAAGAGGGGATGTTGCCTGTAGCAACAACATGTGGCATTACTACTTCAAGCCAGGTGTTCATGTTTTATTGAGGTTGATGTACAAGTGAAGATTGAACAGGAAGGAATTAAAGCAAATCAAATCAATCTTCTGCAGTGTTACAAAAGACTACCTACACATCGTCAAGAGAGAGAAGAGGAAGAAAAAGGGTAAAATCCAGTTACTTATAAAGAGTGCACCTTTTATAAAGACAACATTGCATGCTGTAATTTGTAAAATTTCAGAAAATTGACATCCTAAAATTTCTCTGGACAGTGGTAACATTACTTCTGTAACTGACAAATAGCATGTGTCCTAAAATACATCTATGCCATCATCAGTGCAAATACATGATCTACTACAGGAATAGGAACATACATCTATCAATGAATCATTCAGGGCTAGCAATCTTTCTGCCTTGAAAACAAAGGCTTTTCTCCTGCTTCATAAACTCCAAACTCCCAGAACTAATTGGAGGTAGTGTTGTAACTCATTTGCTCCTCCTCCTGATATCCTGCCTTTTCTCCACTGAAATAATTGCCATCCCACATTTGCACTGACAAGGTAGCTTCATGACCTCAGCCATGTAAAGGCAAGACAATCCTGGTAACAAAATACTTTACCATCAAAAGTGTGCATGGGAAAACCTAACACAGAAAGAGATAGGGGAAAAGGAAGAAAAGGTAGGCTGGGCATTCATCTTCAGCATTATGGTAAAGAACACCCTATGAATGCTTTACTCCACATTAAAAAAAAAATTAAAATAACTCGCACAAATGACCACTACCTTCTCCTTTTTGCATAGGAAAATCTTGTCAGCAGCTGTACATCTTTCTGCCTACTCACCAAGCCAGCTGCTTGGACCTTTGGCAGCATTGAACAGATGACAACCTGTAGCAACTAGTGAGAAACCTTGGGTCTATGTCTGATAGGCCAAGGGACATGTGTCTTGACTGAGATGTACTTGTGCACAAGAACCTCTTTCCCCTGTGTGGAGAGTTTTCAGCAGACACCTGAGGGCTTATCTTATCCAAACTGTGCCCCAGCACCAGCCATCAGTTACAGCTTGTAAAGTGTTCCCAACTTAGTTATAAAGAGTTGCCACTAAAAAGCAGTCACCTGCAGCTTTTCTTTCATCCCTGCAGCACTGCTTATTTATGATTGCTACACAAGAGGACACACATCATCTACACCAATTTGGGGCATAGTCTGTCTCCTCAGACCAGCCAGATTTTACTCCTGGGCACTCTCAGAAATATCACTATTCACCACTCTAATGAATAAAGGAAGTTTTTAATTTCTTGAAGGATGGCCAAAGTTATCACCAGCTTACAATAAATTTTATTGTATGAAGATAATCAAGTAATCTTAATAGATAAGGATGCTTCTGTATGGACTAAAAATTTGGAAAGGTATGAGATGCTAAGTTTCAGTGAGTTTAACTCTAGTAGCTGTTGATTTTCCTGCTTCATTTCAAAAGCAGAAGAATAACTCCACTTTAAAGATTAGATTAGCTTCTCTTATTGAATAAGCCTTTCATTAATCATAGCCTCTCCATTATAAGCTGCTCTCTGATCATCTGGTTTCTGAACAGAGCAAAATTTGCTCAACAATCTTATATTGTGCCCTAATGAGTCCAATATTCTGTCTCAATCACTCACATACTTGAAGTGGAATGTCATGAAGGGTAAAACAACCATGGAACAGTCTTTGGCAGGCAGTTAATGATTAGCCAACATGCTCTAGCAAAAGCATATATGTTATTAACAAGATAGCATCTTACAGCTGCCTGAGTGCAAGAGGAAAGATGAGCGTATGTGGAATCAGCTACATCATCAGATACAAGACTTCAGCATGTGGAACTGCTCCACCTCCTTCTAGCTGACCAACTGAAATTCAGAATGTGTTTCCTACTAATAAGTTATGGTTATTCCACATTAGATTCTCTTAACATTATTTTAAATTTTAATTAAGGCACTGATATTACATGCCTTTTTTTCACCTCCTGCTAGGGGTTACAAGTTTAAAAGTTCCTAGAGGAATCACAGTTTTAAGTTAAACATGTTTGCACAGCATTAGCTGATAAGAAGTTCTCCTAGAGGCCTCGAAGTAAATATATACTTTATTCTTCCAATTTTTTTCCTCTTGACATTTGATGTTATACAGTAGGATAGTTATAGAGTTCAATAAGGGTTAGCCTTCATTTGTGTAAATATTTGAAAAGATTAAAGTATTATGAAATGTTGATCTATTCCAGTAAATGAATGCACTGTCCTTTCATTAATAAGTAGGTCTTTCAAACTAAATGTCAAAGGCGATGAGTAAAATATTATTAATAAATAAATATGTTATTTTTAGATGGGCTTTTGAATTGCTAAAGCATTCACACTAACTAAACTCATTCTACAAATTTTAAACCTCTGCTTGTTTCTTATATTGGTTCTAGTGCCTAGTCAAAAAGAAAGCTGTTTAAAAGAGCTAGTTTAGTAGCCAACAAGAAACCATTTATTTCAGGATGGGAGAGGAAATGTAGTCTAATCATCACACAAAACTGATAGCATGAGCCATTGGATGTACAAGACAAACAGCTGCTAATGCTATTTGGCAAGCCAGTCACTGTTAGCCTTCTAAACCCTCAGTTCTATACTTCATTTTTCTAAAGGAGGCCCTACCATGCTCTGAAGCATTGCACACAGATGACTGATGTCATTTCTTTTTGAGAGGGATGACTGTGAAGCAGGCATCAGACCCCAAACAAATACCCAGAACAAAGCCCAGGGGAACTGCCCCATTCTGCCCCAAGAAGTCCATGACCATCACATCAAGGAGGAGCAAGGCTGCTTCATGAGGAAGATTACCCAGGAGCTGAGGGTAGCTCCACAGTACCCAAGTAGGACCAAGGTGCTGACAGC